CAATGGGCGGGGAGGCGCTGGGTGGTGTCCCCAACCCTGGCAGCCAGTGGTTTGCAGCTTGGCACCAGTCCGCGGACCAGCATTTGGTAACAGCTGAGTTAACCAGTTCAACATTAGGTTAGCCCAATATTTAACTGGTTAACTGATTAACTGGTGAATTTTCAATGGGTCAAATCAAAATACTTACTTATGTATTTCATTTATTTTTTGTGAAATAGAAATTATTTTGTAACTGCCCCACAGAAAAAGTAAGAGCTGGAAAATTTTATTCAGATGTACTTGACTGAAAGCACAGAAAAACAGGGTCCAATCCTGAAAGCCCTCCTTGCATGGAACACCCACTGAAGTCAGTGAGAGTTCTCACCATAGAGGTTTTAAGGTTCAGGCCTGTAACCAGAAGCTGCATTTACTTCAGTTCACACAAGCGAATTATGGCATTGTTGCTTTCAAAGCCTAGGCTGCAAATACACCTTCCCCCAGCAAAAAAATTCAACGCAATGCAGTGATGTTAGAAAAAGCACTGGTTAGATATAGGATGGGTAGAGATAGACATCTAATAAAAACTTAATTGTACGTAAATTTCTAAGTAAATATTCCGTAAATTAATTAAAGCAATCCTTTCCCTTTTTTAGTTACCTGTTTAAGTTGCTAAACCATTAACAAGTACTAAAAGGCAAATGTCTTTCTGTATTCTGTGGACTGTGGATTTCAGAGGTATCATGAAAAAAAAACAAACAAACATACATGCATAGTGCTTGGCTGCTAGAGTTAAAGGAGGAACTTATTTTCAAATGTTTTGTTTTAAAATATAAATTGTAGTTATTGTTCAACTCTACATATGCTGGACTGATGCAGTAGAATCAGAAATAGTTTTCATTATTTGTTAACCAAAGCCTTCAGTCAAACTTAAGTCTAGATTGTCACTTATCTTAATAAAATAATCATAATAATAATAATAATAATATAAATGCAACAGTAACGTTCAGCGGAGGTTCTCAAAATACTTACACAGAGAAACCCACACAGCTAGATAAAATGATCAATGGAAAATTGAGGAAGACTATGAAAAATTTTTTTAGAGCAGCAAGATCTCTTAGAAAGAAGAATCATCTCCTACGGGAAATAATCATGTCAGAAAGCACACGAGAATACACTCTATGGAACGCTTCTGCATCAGCAGAGGAAGAGATAGGATGACCGTAGCGACCTTCCTACCACTTAGTTCTGTAATTCTCCGATTCAGGTGGTAAAGCAAAATGACTGCCAACTGGTTTGATCCCCATGGCACACACCAGAGCTAGTCTCCAATTTACCCATTTAACCTAAATTGGGAAAAAAATGTTGCAGTGCCTGAAGCACAATGCAGAAAAATCCCA